GCCATGTGGGACCCTCCTCCCGTGGCCAGGGAGCAGCCAGGGATCGAACCAGCGCTGCAGAGGCTGCGGGCAGCTTCGAAACCCAGCGCTCAACCGCTGCGCCACCGGGGAGGCCCAACTGGACACCTATCTTATACCACACAAAAAATTAACTCAAAATGGGTGAAAGACTTAAATGTAACACCTGGAAGAAAACACAGGAATAAAGCTCTTTCACATGGGTCTCAGTAATGATTGTTTTCAATATGACACCTAAAGAATAAAGAACAAAATAAAAAAACAAGTTTCTGCACAGCAAAAACAACTATCAGTAAAGTGAAAAGACAACCTACAGAATGCAAAAAATATTTGCAAACTATCTGACAAGGAATTAAAATCCAAAATATATAAAGAACTCATATAACTAAATAGCAAAAGAAAATATCAATAATTTAATTCAAGTCCAAGGACTTAAAAGACGTTTCTCTAGAGATGACTATGAAAATCCAACAGGTACATGAAAAGATACTCAACATCATTAGTCATAAGGGAAACGCAAATTTAAACCACAATGAGATATGACCTCAAGCCTATTAAAATGGCAATCATGAAAAAAAAAGAAAGGTAAGAAAGGCTGGTGGGGATATGGAGAAAAAAGAACCTTATATATTGAGCATGGGGTTGTAAATTGGTATGATCACTTTGGAAAACAGTATACAAAACCTTCAAAAACTAAAAATAAAACTATCATATGGTCCAGCAATTCCGCTTCTGGGTATATATCCAAAGGAAACAAAAATACTAACTCAAATAATGCCTACACCCTATAATCACTAGGGATTACTTAAAATAACTGGGACATGGAAACAACCAGTCACCCATCATTAATGGATAACTGGATAAAGAAGTTATGGTACACACACCATTTGTTACAACATGAATGGAATTTGAGGACACTATGCTAAGTGAATGCTAAATAAAATAAGTCAGATAAACCTAGATACTGTATGATCTCACTTAAATGTGAAATCTAAAAAAAAAAAAAAAAAAACCCTCATAGTTAAAAGAGATCAGACTTCTATGGTAACCAATGGTAAAGAGTTGGGGGAGGGTGGCAGAAGAGGGTGGTAGTCAAAAGGTAAATTTTAATCTTTCAGTTATAAGATAAATAAGTACTAGATGTTTAATGTACAACATGATGACTATAGGTAACAGAACTATATGATATATAGGAAGGTTGTTCAGAGTGAATCTTAAGGGTTCTGATCACAAGGAGAGCATTTATTTCCTTTTTTCTTTCCTTCTTTCTTCTTATTGTTACTATTTCAGAAGGTGGATGTTGGTTGAACCTACTGTGGTAATCTTTTCACAATATATATAAATCAAATCATTATGCTATGCCCTTTAAATTGATGTACTGCATGTCACTTATTTATCAATAAAACTGCAAAAAAAAAAAGGTCACAATGAGATCACTACACATCTATTAGAGTAGTCAAAATCTGGAACACAGACAGTAGTAACAAATGCTGGTGAGAATGTGGAAGATGCTCCTTCATTGCTAGTGGAAATGCAAAATGATACAGCCACTTTGGAAGAGTTTGATTATTTCTACAAACTATATACCCTTTTCCTATACAACCCAGCAATTGTGCTTCTTTATCTAAAAGAGTTGAAAACACATCCACACAAACTCCTGCACATGGATATTTATAGAAGTTTTATTCATAAAACTACCAAAATTACCAAAGCTTGGAAGCAACCAAAATGCCCTTCAGTAAGTAAATAAACTGTGGTACATCCAAACAAACAATTATTTGGAATTAAGATTAAATGAGCTATCAAACTATGAAAAGACATGGAGGGGACTTACATATTACTGAGAGAAACCAATACAAAAAGCCTACATACTATATGATTCCAACTCTATGACATTCTGGAAAAATGCAAAAGTAGAGACATTGAAAAGATCAGTGGTTGCCAGGAACAAGGGGAGAGACAAGGATGAATAGCCAGAGCACAAAGGAATTTTTTGAGCTGTGAAACCATTCTTCATGCTACTATGGTTGTGACTACTTGTCGTTAAACATCTGTCCAAGTCCATAATGTACACCAAGAGTGAACCCTGATAAATATGATGGACTATGGATGATAAAGGTGTGTAGGTTCATTAATTTTAACAAATGTACCATTCGGTGGGGGATGTTGATAATGGGGAAGGCTATACATGTGTGGGAAGAGAGGAAGTTGGGAAATCTTGTACTCTTCTGGTTAATTTTGCTTAAAACTGCTCTAAAAATAAAGTTTTTTAAGAAGGTAAAACCATTAAAAAACTAGAATAATATAGTATATGTAGTGAAATCTCAGAGTGGGAAAGGCAGTACACAAAACATAAAACTTTTTTCCAAAGGAAAAAAGGTATAAATTTGATTTATAGATGTTTTAAATTTCTACACAGAAAAATCAAAAGGTAAACAATAACTGGTAAGAATATTTGTAAAACTCTAACACAAAATTCCAATTCCTTTATTATCTAAAAATGTTGTATCACTAAGAAAAAGAAAACCAATAGAAATAAATACAGACTATTTCCAGAAATAAAGAAAATACATCCAACTTCACTGAGAAATACATTGAAACAGAAATTAGATAGCATTTTTCATTTATCAGATTGGCCAAAATGTAAAAGCTTGCTAAACATTATATAATCAAAGGCATGAAAAAAGTGGCAGAGTTGAAAACTTGTCTACACACAAACCTCCACACATGTTCCTTAACAGCTTTATGCAAAATTCCCCAAAACTGGAAGCAATCAATATGTCCTTCAACAGGTAAACAGATAAACTGTGATACATTCAAACAATGGAATGTTATTTAGTACTGTATTGCTAAGTGAAAGAAGTCAATCTAAAAATGATTCCAACTATGTTACATTCTAGAGAAGGCAAAAATAAAGACAACAAAATTATCAGTGTTGCTAAGGCTGGGCGACTGGGTTTGGGGAGAGAGGAGGGGTGAACAGGAAAAGCACAGAGGATTTTTACACAAACTATTGTATGTAATAGTGTAGTGGTGGATACATGTCATTACACATTTGTCAAAACAAAGAATGTACAACACAAAGAATAAAGCTTAATGTAAACTATTATGGACTTCAATTAATAATAATGTATCAATACTGGTTCATCAATTACAATAAATGTACCACACTAAGACATGATGTAGACAACAGGGGAAAGTGGGGGGAGGGGAGGAAGGGAAGTATGTAGGAACTCTACTTTCTGGTTCATTTTTCTGTAAACCTACAACTGTACTAAAAGAATGAGGATCTAATAGGTTGCTATTAATTATTCTATAAAGTGTTAACCAAAGAGAAAGCTTCCAGCATTTGATGTCTAATACACACTGGACCAGCAAGGGATCAAATAATAGATGAGTGTGTCTTTATAGATGCCAGCTAAGAAATAATATTTCTATATTCCAAAAGCCAGTTGGTTAATCTATCTAGGCTATGATCATCAGAGGCTGCTAAAAGTACAAAAGGAGACACAACCAGATGAAAGAATACTCTGCCATCTTGACCAAAACAAAGACAAATCTGAGGGAGATAAAGCCTTTCTAATTCAACTACTAATTTACAGAGTTCTTTAGCTACTCCATTAATTCTTTGATCTCCTGCATTTCTTTTACTCCCCTCTTTAGGGACTCAATTTCATTCTTCTGATAGTTGATTATTTTTCTCTTATCATTGTTTTCCTTTATGATTTCTGTCAGTTTTTTAATCGTGGCAATTCTAAATTCTCTTTCTGGAAGGCTCAGAAGTTCTTCCAAGTTACTGTCATTGAAATCTGGTGGGTGGTTTTCTTTTTGTGGTGTGCCTTTTTCCTGAGGAGTTGCTGGGTTGCGTGTAGTTTTTCTACTCCCTACTGCCTGTTTTCTAATTTGTCGTCTGCCTTGGGACACTCTGTTGCTGGTACGGGCCGGCATCTTTTTGGTGTGCTCTTTGTGGTTTCGGGAACTGGCGGTCTAAATGAGTCAAATACTGTTATGCCAGAAGTCTAGTGAGGCAGTGGTACTTTGAGTATGTTAATTGTCACTGTCTCAGAATATTTCCTCCTTCTGTGTTTAATTACAAAGGTGTGTCTTGAAGTCCCACAAACTTCCCTGTAGGTGGGGCAGCTGGATTGCACTCTGGGATCCAAACCACTGGATCCCTCTCTGGTTTCCAACTTCTTGCCAGGCAGGACCGGGCTTGTGGGGGCCTTGAGCTCACCTCTGACTGCACAGGGAACCTTTTCCCTCTGGTTCCACAGTTTCAAGCAGTCTTTATTGAAGAGAGGTCCCTGTTCTAAAGTGGCGATGCAGGGACGCACTCCCCTGCGCGCCTGGTCTGCCCAGGCTGTGGGTGCCCGCTCCCCCCTGGGCTCTGACTGCTGGCCAGAAGGGGGCTGGTGTGGGCAAACTTCCCCACTTACCTCTGGCTCCTTTGGGAGGCTTCTGCCAGTTTCAAGCAGTCTTTACGGAAGAGAGGTCCCTGTTCTAAAATGACGATGCGGGGACGCACTCCCCTGCGCATCCCGTCTGCCCGGGTGGTGGATGCCCGCTCCCCTCTGGGCTCAGACTGCTGGCCAGAAGGGGCCTGGTGTGGGCGAACTTCCCCGTTCACCTCTGGCTCCTCCAGAAGCCTTCTTTCAAGCAGTCTTTACTGAAGAGAGGTCCCTGTTCTAAAATGGCGATGCGGGGACGCACTCCCCTGCCTCAACTACTAATTTACATAAAATACGGAAGACAGGAACTTGTGCTGAATGGCATTATAGGGATACAATCAGAAAAATTCACATTGTATAAAACCATCAAATGACCAATTTCTTAAATAAATTTGTAGAGGGAAAGAGAGGGAAGAGAATGTTTACATTAAAAGATACTTAGTAAAATCAAGCAATCGCAATTTATTTGGATTTTGGATTTTGATTCATACAAACTCCAAATTCAAATTTGAACATTGACTAGATATTTTATATTACAATATTATTAAAGTTTTATATAGATGCTATTGTGGCAATGTTTTAAGCTTATAGAGTTTAACACTGTTATATGAAATATATACATGAAATCAAAATGTATCTAGAATTTAAATTCACCATAAAAATAGGAAAGAGGGAAAGGAAAGGAGGTATAGGAAAAAATCATTATTATTTAATCATTAATACTTAATTGTGACAGTGAATGATGGACACATGGGTTCATAATTCTGTTTACTTTTGAACATGTTTGAAGTTTTCTATAGTGAAATTATTTTTCAACATAAGCAACAACAAACAGTAAGGAGTGTTATTATGAAACAAAACTGAAATCCTTCTAATAATTTAGTTAATTTTTCAGGAATTATTTTTGATGCCTGCCATATCCATTCATTCACTTATAATGTAAGGTTACTTACATTATACTCTTGAGGTTACTTACATCCTGTTGATTCTACCTCTTGTTTGCCACTTCTTTCCACCTAGTTCAAGCTAAATTTGGCCTGTGTACAGTGCACCTATTGCCTTTGCCTACCTCCAAAACTGTAGCCAGGATTGTTTTGTTGTTGTACTGGAACATAAATTTGATCATACCAATCCTTTTCTTAAAACTCACTAATGTCTTCTCGCTGATCATAGGATAAAGGTTAAAATCTTCAATAAGCACTCTAAGGCCTTGAAGAATCAATTCAGATGCTATGTACCTCCTCAGCTCCATCTTGAGATGCTTTCCCTTGACTTTCTATACTCTAGCTACATTTTGAACTTGACATACTCATTATAATAGCAGTTACACACATGTTCTCCCTCTGCCAGGGATGTTCCTTCTCTGTACACACACCAGTATCCTTCAGATTTCACCTTAAATGTTCCTCTCTTAAGGTAGCTTTCCCATTATTCTTGGATAAGTGAGGTCAAATACTTTACATCCTCATAACAACTCGTCACAAATGAAATTATGAAATTATTAAAGTTATTGAATGTCTATCTTTCATACTGTAATATAATCTCAAAGAGTGAAGGATATAGGTATTATTATTGTATCCTCAAAGTCTAACATTTTGTTCTGCATACAGTAGGCCAATAAATCTTTATTAAACTATAAATGGCTGCTTAATGAATAAATTTAAATATAATGCCAGTCAAATCATAAAACAGTCATCTGCATCATAATGCAATATTACACAATTAACCTTAATGTTTAGTCATATTCCCAGTAAAATATTTGCAAAGTTTCAATGTGTATATATACAAAAATATAAACAAAAAGAGGAAATAAAGTGACTTCATTACAAATCCAGAGCACAGTTCCTTATTCATACTTCAGAAGTACTTAACAACAAAGGAACAGAGAGATATCTTCATAAATCATCCACCTTGCAAAGGAGAGACACATATATCCAAATTAAAATAATTCTGATTTAAACTCCAAATATTCTATTTAGGCCAAAAACTCAGACTTTCTGATACAGACCATATATGAGAATTTTACATTTATATGCAATTATTTAAAACCAGCTACATATACAGAAATAAAGAATGCACAGTTTCTTAACTCTTATAAAATCTACCTAGGGAAAATCAGAGCTTAAAATTTTAAAGATTAGATCTTCATAACTTAAAATTAGTAAGAAAAACTACAAACTCCTGAATCAAAATTTTATTTTAAATTATTAGGCTTTCAATGCATATGAAAATTTTTCATGACAGGTTAAGATGTTAGCACCTGAAACTACAATAGAAAATATTTTTGTACAACTTTTGCATCACATTATACTTAGCTCTCCTGTGAATGAGTGCATAGTTTGTTTAAATCAGCTTTGCCATGGAGCATCCAGTATGTTTAAAATTTTTATATTATTGTTTAATAACTTCCTAATAAAGTTTTGAGTTTCTACTTGTTTTCCACATAATATGTTTTTCAGCATATGAGCTACTACAATAGCTTTTTCTCTCAATTCTGGTGGAATATGCCTAACATCTAAATATTTAGCTAATTTATATCTTGAGTAATACAGTGTGTTGATAACCGTTTCAATGTCATCAATTTCACCACTGGTTCTTCCTAGTGGTAATATATGGGATTTATACATTTTTTGTAATTTATGTTCTGCTGCAGCTGCCAGAGCAAGGCTTCGTTTTAGATGTTCTCTCGCGGCTCTAATGTCCTCTCTGTATTCTGGCTTGAGGCTCTCAGGAAGAGGTATATGGTGTATCTGGTTATCAATATCTGAAATTTTTTTCAAAATTTCTTCATGTTCCAAACTCTGTGCTTCATATGTTGGTTGCATATAATCTTCACCTGAGAGCTGAGGAACATCTTCTCCCTCTGTGGCGCTATCCTCCATAAAGGTCCTGCTTAGAGTGGTGACAGTTGACTCTGGTGCCTCAGTGGGTTTTTCAGCTGGCTCTGGCTCTGGCTCTCTTATAATATAAGGTTCGTTTGAATGCAAAACAACAGAAACATTGTTTGGTTTAATTGACCAGAAGGGTCTACTTGTAGTAAGTTGTTCCCTCCTTATTTGTGTGAAGCCTGTTGTAGGAGACACTGTAGGTTCTTCACTGATAGGACTGATTAAAACACCATTCTCAGCAGAAGTATCTCCATGTGTAATTACCTCCTTAAATTTTGATACCTTTGGTACTACAGAATAAACATTATTTGGAGATTTCGTTCTTTTCTCCTGACCTGGCTCCGTGGTGGGGACACTTAGTATTAGGTTCTGTAAAACTTGTACATAATGATTCAAGTTTTGTTCTTCATCAGGCGTCACAGTTATGCCTTAAGAAAAAAAAAATCAAATGATAAGTAACATTATTATATGTGACAGAGTGACGGAATCTACTGACCTTTTTTATATGCTATCACTTAAAAGTTGAGATTATGAAACAAGAAATAAAGTAGTTTAGACAGGCAACTCTCACTTAATAAACAAAATTATTTTTCAGATTATTTTAAAACAGAAGAGCAAGATTAGTGTAAAAGTTATGCATTAATCCCCTGTGTCTTTTTTCTTTTACTCTCCCAAATAACTTATGGTTCATTAGGTAACTAATTAAAACAAAATTCTTGCTGGAATAGGCTCATACTAATTCATCAGAGATGATCATCAAATTTTTAGGAATTCTGTGAGCCAGATGTTAAACATAGATATAATTAAATTTACATTATCTGAATTTCCAGTGAAATTGTATTCAAAGCAAAGGTAATAAATATTCAAAACTTACTACATTCTTATTTTATTTCATTTTCCTATCATTTATACTCTTGACGTTACTTACATCTAGTACGTCTGTATGGCAAAACTGCTATATAATGGTTTGCATTACTTTCTGCTTTCCTGTTCAGTGATGTCAAGTTGGTAGTTTGAAATGAAACATTGTGGGAGAGTTTACATAAAGTAGATGAGCAAGTAAGTGTGAGAAATCAGGACTTATCCTTCCCTCCATAAAACCATTATTAAAAATTTGCTAGTATACTACTGACTTCAAACCAATAAAGATTAACAATAACCTATGGGTCATATTCACCCAACTGTTTTTGTAAATAAAGTTTTAATGGAACCTGGCCAGCTTCACCCATTTATTTATGAACTATATAGTTGCTTTAGGCTTCAACAGTAGAATTCAGTAGCTGCAACAGAGACCAACTGACCTATGAAAGATAATACTATATAGAATGTTTACTTATTCCTGGTATAAACCATGAACATTTCACTCTTACAACAAAATGGCAGTTTTATTACTCTGGTATTTTGCAGCATCTGAGTGGTGAATTTGCTCAGCCCCAATGTGGAAAACAGAAAAGATTACATGGTAAGATATTCTGAAATTCTGTTCAACTCTTTTGATTTTTGAATTGATTTTGCTACTGTCATGAATATACATTGACTTAATTCAGGAAAGCAAGTCACTTTTTACCAGGAAAGCAAGTCACTTTTTACCAAACTCTAATGTATAACTTTTACCTGAAGCATCCCTCTGAAAGTAAAATAACAAACCATCCCTCTGTAGGCAAAATAAAATAGCTCTTTGGTAAGCACAAAATATTAAAAATTTGCTTTAGATTTACATATTTCTCCTCTCTTCCTCAACTCCAAGAGGATGGAAAGTTAATCAAAATTGAAAGCACATTTAGAAATTTAAAAAAAAAATCCTATTGAGAAAAGTTTAGTGAGGTAATGTGATAGTGGAAAGGTACCAGATTTGTCTGGAGAGCTAGATTCTAAATGTAAATTCTGCATTTTATGTCATGCTTAAAAAAGTTTTGCATACCCCAAAGCCCATATAATGATGATGCATGAAAAAGAGAAAATATAGAGGGCCTCCCCTGGTGGCGCAGGCAGTTGAGCGCAGTGCTGTGAAGCTGTCCGCAGCCTCGGCTGCGCCAGTTCGATCCCGGTTAGCCGGCGAGGGTCCCACATGGTGCGGCAGACCTCTCCTGTCTCGCCCACTGCTCCCCTCAGCAGTACCTTCCATCCGTCTACCTGTTCTGTTCCCTGCTCTGTCTCTGGTGAATCTTCTCACCCTCCCGTGCATCTGGCCTGTACCCCAGTTCTTGTATAAATAAATAAATAAATCTTTAATGTATATATATACAGTAGCATAAAATTTGAAAAAAAAAGGAAAAATATTGAACATAAAGTAGATTTTTATATAATCCTTATAATTTTTTTAAACTCGGTGACATAGTATCATATATTTTGTATGTGAATTGTAGATTATTTTTAATGGACTAGAACAATAACATACCAAACTCATGTGGATAGTTACCTCCAAGAAGGAGTGGGACTAAAGTTGGTCATTAAAGGGATTTTAAAATTATCTATAGTGTATTACTCCCTAAATACACACATAAAATCATTTACTACAGTAAAACTATAAAAAGTCACATTTTAAAAAGGAAAATATTTTTGTATTCTTATATGCATAAAATACATTGTTCTGAATCTAGAATTTTCTTGAAGGAAAGTATTAAATAAAATAAATATGTTAGAGCAGTGGAAATATGCCAGTGATTCTGGTCCTGGCTCTACCACTTTCTAACATCACAACCTGAGGTTATTATTTATTTCCCTGAACATTTTCTTAACCAAATAAATTAGATATTTGAAAACACATTGAGAGCCACAGAGCACTATATATTATTCTCTGTAAAGATACCCGCTTACTTTTTTCATTTGAAAATAAATTCAAATCCCTAAAAATTACATTAAAATTATGCCTTGGATTCTATTTACTATGAAATGTTAGAACATTTCCTGCTAAACATACAGAACAGATCAGGATATCTAATTCTCCATTACTATTTAACACCATGTTAAAGGTAGCAGTCAATGTAATTAGACATGGAAAAATAACTGGAAGCATGAGAACTGGAAAGAAAAAGGTGAAACTATCTTTATATGCAAATGATGTAATTATAAATCTGAGCAACACAAAACAATCCATTGAAAAGTGGCAAGGTATAAAATCAATATACAAATATAAACCAGTTAGGAGATAAAATGAGAAAGATCCCATTTTGATAAGAAAATAACTAATCATAAGTTTAAAAAGACATGTCCAAAATCTATATGAGGAATTAGAATAGGCTGAATAAGAGACATATAGAGATTAAGTCCTAATCCTGGACTTGGAAATGTTAATTTTATAAGAAAAGTCTTTGTAGATGTTAAAGATTTTGACAGGAGGAATTATCCTGGATTACCTGGGGGGTTCTAAATTCAATCAAAAAATATTCTTGGAGTGGGAGGAGTCTGACTCAGTGAAAGAGGCAGAAATACGGAGAGGGTGGCAAAAATTAGAGTGATGGGGACACAAGACATGGAATGCTAGCAGACACCAAAAATTGGAAGCAGCAAGGAAAATACTGTCTCTTAGAGCTTCCAGGGGGATGATGGCTCTGCTTTTGATTTTATTTATTTATTTATTTATTTTTTAAGATTTATTTATTTAGTTATACAAGCACTGGGTACAGTCAGAAGCACGGGAGGGTGAGAGAAATCACCAGAGCCTGAGGGGAGAGCAGAGCAGGCAGACAGACGAAGTACACTGCTGAGGGAACAGCGGGCGGCAGGAGAGGTCTGCGCACCATGTGGGACCCTCGCCCGGTGGCGGGGAACAGCCAGGGATCGAACCGGCGCTGCAGAGGCTGCGGGCAGCTTCGCAACCCAGCGCTCAACCGCTGTGCCACCGGGGAGGCCCTCTGCTTTTGATTTTAGATCAACGAAACTGACTATAGACTTCTGAGCTCTGGAACTAATATATTTCTGTTGTTTTGAGATACCAAATTTGTGGTGATTTGTTAATAACAGTCACAGAAACCTTCACAGGAATATAATAAAATCTTTTAATGGACATATGTAAACTTCAACAAATAGAAATAAATACCATGTTCACAAGTAAGAAAATTCATATTCATTCATTCAAGATGCCATACTTCTATTAATTTATACTTCTAATAAAATATCATTGTTTTTTGGAATTAGAAAAATAAATCATAAAGTTCATCTGGAAGAATAAATAAGAATAGCCAGAAAAACACATGTTAGTCCTAGTAATTTATATATATATATATATAAATACATCATAAAGCCTCATTATAAAAACAGTATAGCCCTGCATATAAATACACAGAGCAGAAGATCTAGAAATAGACCCAACTGCACTGAGAAAAATAGCTCAAGGTAAGGATAGGTTCCAATTCATAAACTATTCATAATAGCTCATAAATAAAGCTCATAAATGAAGAAGTCATTTATAATTATAAAATGATCATTTTCCAATAATGGCCATTATCAAGGATTACTTATATCACAAAAGACACATAATCAGACACTGTGTGCTTCCTGATAAAAGAGCCCAATACCACCTATGGAGCAGTCTTGCAAAAAAGGTTAAAACTAAATCTAACAGATCTCTCTAGATCTACTTAACAATACACAGAAAATGCATGGGACAGCAAAGGAAGATATGAACTACACCCTGGGGGATATAATCAGCAAAACTTGACTGTAGGAAAGTACAGGGCATATGATCAAATTTCTTCAACAATTAAATTGTAAGGGAAAAAAAGAGATGAAGAAGGAACTATAGATAAAAGAATTAACAGACATATCAATGAACTGCATTTATGAATCTAATTATAAATCCCCATCAAACAAACTAGAAAAGAGAGAAAGTTTGAATACTGATCATCTACTTGGTAATATTAAGGAATTATCATCTTTTTAGGTATAAAATTGTTTTTTAAAGTACTTGTATTTTAGTACTTCATAGTGAAATATTCAATGATAAAATTATATGATAACTGGAACTTGCTTCTAAATAACTCAAGCCCGAGAACTTGTAGCGACTAGGGAGGTGAGATTAAAAGCAATGTGGGACCTCCCTGGTGGCACAGGCGGTTGAGTGCAGCACTGTGAAGCTGTCTGCAGCCTCTGCAGTGCCAGTTCGATCCCCACCAGCTGTGGAGATACCCACATGGTGAGCAGACCTCTCCTGTCTCGCCTGGTGCTCCCCTCAGCCATGTATTTCGTCAGTCTGCCTGTTCTGTTCCCCACTCTGTCTTTGGTGAATCCTCTCACACTCCCGTACGTCTGGCCTGTACCCCAGTTCTTGTATAAATCTTTAAAAAAAAATAAAATAAATAAAAGGAATATGGATGGAGACATCAATGAAACAAGGTTAATTATGACTTAATAATAGTTGAAGCTGGTTATAGATATAAGGGGACTTATTAACCATTCTTTCTATTTGTGTATATATTTAATTTTTCTG